AAGCCGCCTCCCTTGTGTCCAAGGGGCTTGCTTGACAGTACACTTATCAGTTTCTCATGGGTTTAAACTCTTAATTTAAATCTCTTCGAATTCAAATTCTAAACACATCACCCATGCCATCTCTTTATGAGGCTTTTGCCACTATTGATAGTGATGAGCGTCACCGATGATTGGTTCAGCCTAGGGTTCCTTCAGTCCCTTCAGTTTTAGCAGATCAGATGGCTCTTGTTGAGAGTTCTGGTTTTGGGAGTTCCATCGATTATGTAACTTGTCATTATTGTGGTGCGCCTGGACATGTCAAAGCCCGTTGCTTCAACTTTCATCCTGAGTTGAGGCAACGCCCTTCTCGTCCTCGTGGTCTTGCCCCACGTGGTTCTGGCTCTGCTCGTGCAGTTGCGTTGGTGGACGTTACTCCTGCTTCTGAGCCTCCTAATGTCCCTAATCTACAGCAGTTATAGACTCAGATTGGTCAACTTCAGGCTCAACTTGGGTCCCTCGCCATTGGTTCTCTTGGTCCATCATCCTCTACTGCCACCCTTGCTACAGGTACTTCTACTGCTGCTAGTTTTTCATGGATTTTGGATTCTGGATTCTGGGGCTAATGATCATATGATTAGTGAGTTTTCTTTTCTTTCCTCTCCTGAACCCACCACTGCTGCCCAATCTGTGTGTCTTGCTGATGGTTCTCGCTCTTTTGTCCAACATAAGGGTGTTGTGTCTTTGTCCCCTGACATCACTTTATCTTCTGTGTTGCATGTTTCCAAGTTTGCTTATAATCTTTTATTTGTTAGTCATCTTGCTAAAACCTTTAACTGCGCTGTCATCTTCTTACCTTCTTCGTGTCTTCTACAGGACTTGAGTTCGAAGACAATTTTTGGCAGGGGATATAAGCTCGTTGTGCTATACTACTTTGGGGATCCACCGGACCAGCCTTCTTTGACTTTAGCTAATTTTCAGACATCTGTTTTGCCTCCTTCTATATCTTGTGTTTTTTCTGTTCAAACTTTAGAGTTATGGCACGCCCGTATGGGTCATGTTAATTTTCAATATTTATGTCAACTTTCCCTTTATTGAATAAAGCTTGTAAGGATTCTAAATTTCATTGTGTTACTTGTGAGTTGTCTAAACATATCTGTACTAGTTATGTAAAAATATATTTATTATTGATTGATGAATTGATTGATGTTGATATCTGATTGTTGTGTATTACAAATGGTGAGTGGCTCATTATATAGGAGAGGGTGAGTGTAGTAGGTGATGAGTAGGTGAGGAGTAGGTGGTGGTAGGTGATGGTAAATTGGTGGTAGGTGTGGTGGTAGGTGATGGTAAATTCTAACAAGTTATATACCACATATGAAACGGGCCCCTAGTGTTTTTGACCTTATTCATTCTGATATTTAGGGTCCCTCTCCTGTTCCTGCTTTTTCAAGTCATGGTTATTATGTGACTTTTATTGATGACCACACTAGGTGCACTTGGGTCTATTTACTTCACTGCAAGTCTGATGTGTTTTTCATCTTCGTTCAGTTTTTGCAAATGGTTAAGACAATTTCGTACAGTTGTTAGGACCATCTGCTTTGATAATAGTAGAGAATATATCTCCAACGAGTTTTGTTCCCACCTTAATCGAACGGGTATTCTTCAACAATTTACATGTCCTCGTACCCCTGAACAAAATGGTGTAGCTGAACGTAAAAACCATCATATTATGTTTGTCGTACGTTGTCTTCTTCGTGGTATGCGTGTGCCTAAGTCTTATTGGCACATGATTGTTCTTACTGCTGTCTATCTCATTAATAGGACTCCTAGTCGTGTGTTACATGGCCTTACCCCATTCCATATTCTTATGCCTAATACTATCCTTTTTTCTCTTTTACCTCGTGTTTTTGGGTGTACATGTTTTGTTCAAGACCAGCGTCCCACTCGCACTAAGTTAGATGACAAGTTGTTCATTGTGTCTTTTTGGGGTATTCTTCCATGTCTAAAAGATATAGATGTTTTGATCCTGTGTCTTGTCACATTCACCACACTCTGTATGTCACTTTTTGTAAGGATCTTCTTTTTTTTATTCCTAACCCCCCGTTGTAGGTTTTCCCTTCAGAGACTCCGAGTGTCCGCCCGGTTCCCATTTTAGATGAGGTTGCGGATGAGATTGCCCCCCTCTCTCTTATCCTCCACCTTCGACTCCTTCCCTTCCCCCCCCATTGCAGGTATACTCTAGCTTTCCTCGTGCTCAGCCCCCTTCTGCCACCTCTCCGAATCTTGGGTTAGGTAATTATTCCCCTTTACATACATCTCCTTCCTTTCCTCGTCGTAATCCTCCTCGAGATCGACATCACCCTGACGGTTGGGGTTATCTGTCCCAGTATCTCATATGACAAGGTTTCAAACTTATATCATTCTTTCTTTGGCAAGCTTGAGTTCAAGTCTATTCCTCGGTCTGTGTTAGAGGCCCTTCAGAATCCAAAATGGGTAGCAGTCATGCAGACTAAAATGGCAGCTTTAGAACAGAATCATACTTGGGATTTGGTTCCTTTACCTTATGGGGAGAGTACCGTGGGTTGTAAATGGGTCTTTGCTATTAAGTACCTACCTGATGGCTCCATTGACCGTTATAAGGCTCGCTTATTGGCCAAGGGCTTCACTCAAGTTCCTGGCAAGGATTTTGGTGCTACCTTTGGCCCAATTGCCAAGCTTACATCTGTTCGTCTACTCATCTCCCATGTAGCATCCCATTCTTGGCCCCTTTATCAACTTGATGTCAAGAATGCCTTTCTACATAGGAATCTTCTTGAGACGATTTATATAACCCCTTCTCTTGGTTTTCGAGCTGAGGGGGAGTATTCGGGGAAAGTATGTTGACTGTGCAAGCCTTTGTACGGCTTGAAGCAGTCTCCACAATCTTGATTTAGTCGTTTCAGCTCAGTCATCATCTCCATGGGCTTTGTTCAATGTCATTCAGACCACGTGCTTCATCCGTCGTAATTCTGCAGGTTAGTGTATAGTCTTGTTGGTTTATGTCGATTATATCATTCTTGCCGGTGATTTGGGACACACCTTTGATATTAAGGATTTGGGGAATCTCAAGTATTTTCTAAGGATTGAGGTGGCTCGCTCACAGCAAGAGATTTTCTTTTCTCAAAGGAAGTACACTCTCAACTTACTTAAGGATACTGGTATGTTGGGGTGTAAACTTGCTTCTACTCTTATGGATCCCAATGTCAAGCTCACATCATAGTCTGGCGAATTACTAGAGAACCCAGGCATGTATCAACGTCTTTTTGTGCGTCTCATCTATCTGACCAATACTAGACCTGACTTGACATTTGCAGTTAGTTTGGTTAGCCAATTCATGCATGCACCTCATACAGAACATCTTGATGTGGTTCATCACATCTTGAGATATTTGAAGACCTCTCCTGGCTTGGGATTGTTCTTCACAGCTGATCTTCAATCTGGACTCTTCTGTTTTACTGATGCTGACTATGCAGGATCTAGAACGGATAGGCATTCTACATCAAGCTTATATACCTTCTATGGCGATCATCTTATATCATGGAAAAGTAAAAAGCAAGCAGTTGTTTCTAGGTCTTCTGCAGAAGCTGAGTGCAGGGCTATGGCACAAAGCACTTGTGAGATTCTATGGCTATGTTCTATTTTTGGCAGAGTTGGGATTTGAGGAGACTGCTCCTGCGTCTTTGTTTTGTGACAACAAGTCTGCTATTATGCTTTCTGATTCTGTCCTACATGAGCATACTAAGCATATAGAGGTTGATATATGCTTCATTCAAGAGAAGGTTCGGATTGGTATTGTGAGACCATCCATTGTCTCTTCTTCTGAGCAGTTTGTAGATATGTTCACTAAGTCTGTAGGCTCAACATTACTCCAGTCGTCTATCAGCAAGCTGCGTTTATTGAATATCTTCACACCAGCTTGAGGGGGAGTGTTGGAATTAGGAAATAGTAATATTATAATTATGGTAGTATAGTGATATTGTAATTATGGTAGTGTATAAAATCTGTGATTATGTCAATCATAGATTTAATGTCTTTTTTTTCTTCGTTTCCTATTTTGTAATATTGTTTCATTATAAATACAAGGCTCTACGTCATTCATAAGTAAGCCAACTAATTCTTATCATTCTTTTCAAAAGGTCCACCTCCCAAACGGTCCCCTTTGCACATAGCTGTTATCTTGAATCACATTTTAGACAAATTAAACCACATTAACATAAATCAAACCACGCATTAACACAAAGTTCCTTGCTTTTTACTTAATTGCTAATTTAATTTTTAATCCATATATAATCACATATCAAATTACACACACATGTATGTATATAAGTATATGCATACGTATATGTACTACAATGGCATGACCCACTTGTCCACTACCTCAGGCACATCAACCCACCCACTTCACCATAGATATGTTCTACATGACCTTGCCGACAAACCCACTATATGTTTTACATCAATCTCAACTGTTTTATTTATTTATTTATTTTATTTATTATTTTATAAATCTTGAATTGATTCAACAACACACCCATAGATACAATTGGAAGGGAGCATAAGGTGGAAGGCGGGGTCGTGGGGGGATAGGAAGGAGGTGAGAGAGGTGGTAAAGGTGGCGGGGATGGTGGCGAGGTGGCTGGCAAAGCAGGGGGGTGGAGGTGGGGAGGTGGAGGATCAAGTCAATTGTGGTGAGAGCCTCTTGCATATTTAAATGTTAGGAGGTAAAGTGGTCTGGGGCAAACCCTTTTTTTTTTCATTTTGAAAGAATGAACCCCACATTTTACTCTTTCTTGATTTTCTTTACTTCTTTTTCAGCTACATTCAACTTAAGCAAGGTATTTGCTTGTACAAACGGTGACGATGAACAAGAATACATGCACATTAAACATTGTCACTATATGCATCAATTATAAAGTAAACAACTGAAGCACAAGTATCAGTATCCATATTGGTGGAGTGGAATAGGAAACAAGTGTAAGTACCTGAAAGACTCTCCTTCAGTGTACCATTTGCAATATACTCATACACCAACATTTGTTCGCCTTGCTCAAAACAGAAACCCACAAGGCTGACAACATTCTTATGATGAATCCTGGATAGAAGTTCAAGCTCACTTTTAAATTCAAGACCACCCTGAGTAGATCCTTGTTTAGCCCTTTTGATGGCAACCAGTTGCTCAGTGGGAAGAGTTCCTCTATATACCTGTAAATAAAACGAAGAACTGTGAATATGCAAGTTACACCGCACAAAGGAATACTATGCAAAAATATTCTAGGATCGATGACAAGCCTGTTCAAGAAAAAGTTCAAAAATGCAGGAATAATGCTCCAAATTTAAACTAAAGCAATATATATTGGAAAGAAAATACATAGGATTGTTTTATAGGAATTTTCAGAACGAGTTTGCAAGCACACAAAAGTTTAGTAATTAATATATTTATCAATGATATGCCGGAAATAATTCATACAAATTCAAAGATCAGTCAACTACTTCTCATTTATATATATAAAAAAAAAAAGAAAAAGAAAAAGAAACTGCATATAATTGTACTCTTAAAAAAAAAATCAGACTTCTGTCACAGAAGAAAAGTCCAAAACTCAGTCTGTAAATATGGAACCTAGTAATATATGAGCTATGTTGTACCAAGACAAGAAAAGAATCACAGACAATCTATTCTCTAGCAAAAAGAATGTAAAAGTTCACCTTTCAACAATCTATTCTCTAGCTATAAGAATACAGAAGTTAACCTTTCCGTAGCCACCAGCTCCAATACAGTTGGCATCTGAGAAATTGTTTGTGTATTTCTTCAGGTCTTCAAATGAGAAACACCTAGCTCCTTTTAATTGAGGAGCACCACCTTGGCTTTCATTTTGGTGCCAAGAAGCTGCATTGGTACGACATCGAAGTTATAACTAAAACCCAAGACAAGACATGATTACCGAGAAATACATTATCAAGATTAACTCCTAATTTTACCAAAAGGATTGTTCTGTTTTTCAGAAATTTCAGCTCTTCTCTTCTGACGGAAAGCATAAATTCCTGCAAGGAGACACAATAACACAAGCAAAGAACAACCAACTGCCACTCCGACGATAATGCCAGTACTTGATGATTTCTTTGCTCCTGTAGATCCTTTTACATATGAGAGAGAGAGAGAGAGAGGGGGGGGGAGATTAACATGACAAATCACATGTATATATACTTTATACCTGCAAAATATGGGAACCAAAAAAAGGGCCCAAAACGCTTCATAGGATACAAAGTCATGTTGGTCAGCACAAACGCAATCCCAGAAATTTCTGTTCGATTAAAACTCTCTACACCATATGGAAAAACTTCTAATCTTAGTATGATGGGGGAATCATCTGAATTTTTTCTCAGAGAAACTGAATCCACAGGGAGTTGATAGGACTGAAAAGAACTCATCAGAGAATTCTCGAGTAATGTGTAGATTTTTGAGTTTGGGACATTAAAGGAAGGAGCTCCGAAGAATAGGAAACACGTATATGGATGAGCACATCTACAGTTGGGGCTGGATATTTGATGTGACTTGCAGGTAACATGCATACAAGTCTTTGGTTCTGTTGAATATGAGGAATTTGACTGTTGAATGATGCAGTGTGGTTCTGTCCCTTGTGCTCCCTCGCAAACTGGATTTCCTACAAGTCTACAGAAAATAACAGAAAAGTACACCAATGAGGTTATAGAATGATAAACCAAAGAACAGTAAATAGATTGCATGTCCAGAAACGGAACTAGTTTTAGTTCTTTAACATCATCTTACTGATGGAATAGCCAAAACAGTCTTACTACTTACATTAACTCAGAGTTAAATCGCGTTCCCACCACATAGCCAGTTATGTAATTGTTCTGCAAATCTATAAGTTGCAGTTGGTTGTTATTGCTGGAGTTGACAACCAAAATGCCATTAAGTTTGTTGTTCCTCAACACACTGACACGGCATGTCAAAACAAATTGCTTTGATTATAATGGGCATGACATAAGATAAACAACTAGAATCAATCATGTTAGAACCCATGGAGGTTCCATTTTTTTTGTTTATTACTTTGAATTCTAGATGATTATATGAAATGCAGTATATGAGATTAAACTAATACTCACACTTTTATTAACAGTGGAAGGCTGAAGAAGGCATCTGGAATTTGACCTTGAAGTCTTGTGTTTTCCATCATTCTGTAAGTACAATGTTAGCAGGAACATAATTGTAGTGCATTGAAACTTCTCATTTTAGCTGAGAAGCTGTTTGCAAAATTGCAAACACAAAATTGAAAGAGTTGAAGCTTGGGTAACCAGCTTGGGGAATGATAGAATATCACCCCCTATTTATAAATGAAGATTTAGGGTTTACAAGAAAGGCAATTACAAGATGATCCCTGAGTGCTATCCCTGAGTGCATAAAATGATTACAGACAGACCCTAGTGTACCTTTCGGCTAATATAATATGCTAACACTCCCCCTCAAGCTGGTGCGAAGATATCTCTCATGCCCAGCTTGCCTAATATGTCATGAAATGGTTTATTCCCAATCCCCTTGGTGAGAATGTCAGCAAGTTGTTCACCAGACTGGACAAAAGGAGTATAAATGATACCACTAGTGAGTTTCTCCTTAATGAAGTGACGATCAAT